TGGACACAAATGTACTACCAGCATTATTCATAATAGCCAAAGAGTTGGATAACCAAAATGCCCATTATCTGATGACCTGATCAACAAACTGTGGTCTATACATACAACGGAATATCATTCATCAGTAAAAAAGATAGATGTATTGATATATGCTACAACATTAATAAACCTTGGAAATATTATGCTAAATGAAAGAAGTCAGTCACAAAAGACTACCTGAGGTATGATTCCATTTTTATGAAAAGTCCAGAATAAACAAATCTATGGAAACAAAAGGTAGATTAGTGGTTTCCCAGAGCTGGGATGTGGGTGTAGAGAAGCTGGAGAGAAATGGGGATTGACTGTTAATGGGTATGTGATGAAAATGTTCTTTTGGGGGTGATGAAAATGTTCTAAAATTGATTTGATGATTGTACAATACTGTCAATATACTAAAAACTAATGAATTATACACTTCAAATAGGTGAATGATATCTTGTGTGGATTATCTCAAAGCTATTATTTTTAAAATGCAAATTGCTGTCATTTCAACTGTCTCCATCTTGCTGACATGATGTTAAACAAATTGGAAAAACAGGTACTAAAGTAGGACAGCCATTACTGATATAAAGTGATTACCCAGATTATGCTTTTATTCTTTAAAATTTCCATCAAGATAATGGCTCAGCATTAGCAAAGTCAGGGAAGGAATTACATGCTTTTAGCCCTCAGAGCAATGTTCTTTTCATTATACCATTGTGACGGTTGATATTTTTTCCAGATGCATCACACAACCTCAAAAGGCGGCATTCACAAGAGAGTACAGTGAATGGCACCCCCTGGGAGTTGTGCAGTGCACCACATGAACAACCATCCACAATGATCCAACCATCTACCACTGCTCCAAAGGGTAGAAGAGGTCTACTATTAAGTATTTAAACTTCCCAAAGGTAACATACACCCCAATTTGTTTATTGAGATTTAGCATGTATCCTGCACTCTATTATCCTTCCCCAAGACCATGAAATCAGCATTAGGAAAAGCAAGGCATTTTACTGATACCTGCAAGTTACCTCTCTGAAAAGTAATCAGTATGCTGGTAGAAGTCACACACTGATGTTTGAATGAATATACTCATCCTGGTGATTTTCTATAGTGAAACAACCCCAAGCAACAGTTAAAGCAAAATCTAAATCATTTTAGCTTTAGAAGAATGAAAAAAATTAACATATGATAGAATTTGGCAATTTACTTTGTTTCCCTTAATTTGATTTTCATATGCCTAAAGTACGCATTGAAGAGGAATGCAGGGAACAACTTTATAGAATTATCCTTGCTCCCTGAAAGAGGTTGTGGGGATGAACTTGGTGAGCACTTCCCTGAACCACTAAATTTTAATGCGTGGTTGATGCGGGCATTTTGAGATGAAGTGTGTAAAGGGTTGACTTCTGAAAGATTTCACTGTGTACATACATCATAAATGCACATCCTTAGTGTTTCCCCAAGGTCCTGTTTAGAAGGCAGTAAACCATACAGATCAAATGCCGAAGTCCTGTTCACTCCATGCAAACAGTAAGTACTTTTTTTTCTGAAAATGATTCTTCTTCTTCAAAAGATCTAGTGAATTAATGAATAAATACATTTAAATGATGGATTGAAACAATATGTTTAAGAAATGGTTCGAAGAAAACATAAGACAACATGTCTTTCCCCAACAATAGTTATAGATAAAATGATAAATAAGGTTACCTTTATTTTTTTGTTTGAAAAGCAATGCCTACTTACTCTTTGAAGAAAAGCTTAGATATAAACATTTTAATACCCCAATAACCACCATCATAATACAATCCTCATTAACATTTTTGTTTTCTTTCTCATATAATTTCTTTTGTTTTGCAAAGCATCAATCATCTATTGTAACCAAAATGTTTATCTTTACAGTTTGGTCCCAAAGCACAATATTGAAGTTTGAATCATGCCATGCTCTTCACACATGCGCGCGCGCGCACACACACACACACACACACACACTTCACCCATAATTCTCTCAATTAAAGAACAGGTCCTGTTTGCTCTAATTTCCTTACTTTAGCAGGACATATATATGTGTTCCCTTGAAATGAAAGACTCCGTAATAGCTACCAGAGCTAATTAGTCTGGTCCAAACAGTTCCCAAAACATATGCTGGAGTTGAATCAAACCTTGCAAAAAGGCAGAGTTGCTACTGTGGATGTTGGAATACATCACCATCCTGTACATTTCCAATGCTTTATGATTGGGCCTGAGATATTTTTTGTTATTTGTTTGCTTTTTTTTGAAGGAAGAGGATGAAGTGAAAGAGGAGGAGGAGGAGAAGGAGGAGAACTAGGAGGAGAAATAGTTACCACCTCCCCCCACTCCAGGGACAGGTAGAGAGAGGAAAACCTTTCCATAGTGTTATGGGAGCTAAGGATGTTTCACGCTATCATTAGCCCTGGATCCCAAGATTATAACTTTGGATTCAGTCACAAAATCTACTTTGCTGGGACACAGCAGGGCTAGCATAGAGCATATCCCTGTTACCCATTCCTCTATCACCCACAGATTCACACCACTCCCTTTGGACCTGTTGCTTTAGAGCAGTGGAGAGCTCACCTGATCATTCCGTGCCTTTCTGCTTTTATTGAAAGCTTATCTCTGGAGTCACATTGCTCTGGCCTGATCGCAGCCTCACCCAGAGCCACCTCAGTACAACTGGCTTAGGAGAAAGGAGTCAGATCTCAGTCCTTTCCCTCTCCAGATGCTCCTTGCTCCTTATGTAAATGAACCCATTAATTCCTCCAAGTCACAGAAACCAAAGCTTTCCTCAAGCAGACAAAATAAAATTTTACCTCACCAAACGCAGTCACGGTACTCCAGATATAAGGCAGCATCTCATGTCAGTTAAGAGTACAGGTTCTGAAGCCTCAATGTGGGGCTCAAATCTCACCTTTGCCATTTACTTTCTTTATGACCTCGATCAAGATACCATAAATTTTCAGTGCCTAGGTTTCCTCATGTGCACAATATTAGTGTCTTCTTCACAAGACTGTTATGAGGGTTCACACTTACATATGTGATGTGTTCACAAAAACTCCTGACACATAGCAAACACCAAGTATCCTAATATTCTTACCTGCCAATATGAATAATGTTCATGTTATTTTTAATAGTTGCCTATTTTCTATGAAATGAATATAAACTTATTCAACTATTCTCTTACAATGGGATAATTAGTTTCTTTTTAGTTTTTCACTATTATAAACTATTTTGATGTAAATATATTTGTGTTGTTTTAAAAAGCTTAGCCATTTCAGCCCAACAGAGGAGATTTTTTGATGGGCCATTTTAACTCTGTGAGATCAATCAAAGGTGTCATCAGATCTGCACTTGCAGCTCCATCTTTCTGTGCCCGTGTTGCTTCCTCCCCTTTTCTCCCATGGGTTTTCTCCCACCAGCATTCCTTAATAAACTCTGCAGATGGGAAACTGGTCTCAGAGTCCTCTTCTCAGAGAATCCATCCTGTCATGACGTCCACTTTATTGCTCATCGTCCTTAAAACACATTATTCACAGATTATAGTCTTCCAGTTTTTCATCTATTTCACTGGCCATGATTTCTTCCTCTTTTTTGTCATTTCTCTAACTTCCCCAGGACGCACATGCCAGTCCTTTCCCTTCTTTATCTCCCCACACTGGTGCTGACATTAGCTAATCTTGTTTCTTTAAATACCATGCAATGTGTTTCCAATAGAGCAGCCTAAGCAATTAATATTAAACAACCAAATCATGTCACGCCTCTCCCCAAAATCACCACGTAAATTCTCCACTCAACTGAAGTATAGCCCAGTTTCGTTGTCTTTCTGTGTTTGTTGCTACAATTATCTATGAGGGTTGATACTGGTGGTTCTTAACCCTGAATATACAGAGTAAAGGGGGCAAAAATATAGTGATGGAATTACAATTTAGTGAGAGAACACATTATTTTGGAAGCTGTGGGGCTGCTGTATGAACTTGGAAACAGAAACCAGTCTTTAAGAGAAAAATATAAAGCAAAGGCATGGAGAAAAAAGAAGAGAGAGTGTGTAGAGAGAACAAGAAGGAGAAGGGGAATGAGAGAGAAAGAAAGAGAAACAAAGACAGATGCCAATGTGTATTAATTAAGACATCTTCATTTGTTTAACATTTATTTTTGTTGCTATGTGGCAGTCACTCTTAAAGATTCTGGTAAAGTGGTATACATGGGACTCTCTCCTTTAGTTTTAATCCTCAACTGATGACATGCTTACTAATTTTAGAGAGAGGGAAAGGAAGAGAGAGAAACAACAATGTGAAGGAGAAACACTGATTTGTTACCTCCCATATGCGCCCCAACCCTGGATCAAACCCACAACCTTTGAAGGTACATCAGCTCTTAATTATCTTGAACTGGAAGTGATGCTCACTATTGTTATTCTAACTCATTGGACTTGAATTAATTCTGTGATTTCAACCTAACTGCATAGGGACTGGGAAATGTGAAAAAGAATGGGGACATTTGTTGAACATTAATAATCACCTCTATTAAATATGTATTTTGAAAATAGAGCCCCAGGATTTGGTGAAGGGTGGTTTGTAAGGGTGTAAGGGAAAGTGGAAAACCGAAGATCATTCCTAATATTTGATCCGTGTAACTGTGGGAATGGTTGGTAGGGGTTCTTGATGTATGTACAAACCTGACTTTACTAGTATTCAAAGTGTGCTTTTTCATATCTGTAGTCATATGCTATTTCTTGTTAACCTTTTCTATACTTGATTTAATGATAGGATGATATAACTGCCTTATAAAATCTTTTTACCTAGTAAAGGTGAATAATTATTTTTTTCTAAACTAGATTTTCATGTCACAAGATGGTTCTCTTTTTTATTAAATTTATTTGGGTAACATTGGTTAATAGTATCATATAGTTTTCATGTGGACATTTCTGTGTACTGGACGATGCTCCAACCAACTGAAGCCTCCCAACAGTGGGTGGCATGCAGTGAGGATGGGACTCTCTTTTTAGATTTTATTCTAGTGAGACATCCTCATTGAGTAAACAGAACATTGTAATTTAGGATAATGGTGAGTAATATAAGTGATATAGAGCAGAATGAAAGGCTGTCTTAGAGAGTGGGGAGAGGAAAGTCCTCTGTGGAGAGGTGACATTTTTAGAGCCAATTCTAGACAGCTAACACTAATTCTCTGTTTTCCCATTTTTCCTAGAGTTACTAGCTCAGTAATGATATGACTATCTGTTACTATAAGTAATAGCATAATCACATGGTTTGCCAATGATAAAAGGATGAATATATTTTCAACTTCCAATTTCATTTTTCTGGCTTCCCCAACAATTGTTTTTTCTCATGTCTTACAATATCTAGAGGGAAATCTTCTCTGGGGTCTTACATCCAGAAAACTGTTGTGTTGCTTTTAATAAATTATTTGCTTTTGTTATATGAAAATGAATTAATTAGATGAAAATGAAACATGTAATTGGTCAGCATTCCCTCTTTGTGCTGATTATTAGAAAACTCGGGACCTCATTATAATCATCCTCAGGATTTGTTATATTTTTCTTCCTGTTTGTGGATATCTTTAATATAATTAAACTAGAGGCCCAGTGCACAAAATTGTGCGTAGGTAGGGTCCCTAGGCCTAGCCTGGGATCAAGGCCATCTTCCTCCCGCTCGCCAGTCCCTAGTCCCACCCCACCACTGCCCACCCCAGTTCCCATTGGTTCCCCATCCAGCTTTCAGAGCCTGTGGGCTGGGAGGATGGACCAAGAGGTGGTCAATGCACCTCATAGCGACAGGTCGATCAGTCATTCTGGTCGTTACGCCGTTATAGTCACTGGCTTTTTATTATATAGGATATACATCATATGGCCCAACTGGTGTGGCTCAGTGGTTGAGCATCAACCTGTGAACCTGGAATTCATGGTTCGATTCACCAGTGGGAGCACAAGCCCAGGTTGCAGGCTCAATCCCCAGTGGGTGGTATGCAGAGGGCAACTTATCAATGATTCTTTCTCATCATTGATGTATCTATCTCTCTCTCTCTCTCCCTTCCTCTCTAAAATTAATAAAAATATGGTTTTAAAAAATTAAAATATGTATTTTTATAGGAGACCTTAACTCTTAAAAAAACTTTGAGGAATGAATAAATGAACAGACAAATGAATAAATGATGAATAAATTGAAGATTTCCATCCCCCTAAATTTTTTTTGAAAGTTCTATTTTTTTAATATAACACTACATTAAGTTGAATACTAAAAACAAAAGTGGCTATTATTTAAAATGTAATGTTGGGCATTCTCATTCTCTCGGCACACATTTTCCACACCAGAAAGTTAGAGTTTTACTGGCCTTAATTCCTGTCTCTAAACTCATTTCATATCCAAACAAGCTGTTTTATTCAATAAATATTTATAGAGCTCCCTCCTGACACATAT